TCGATTTGTGCGTTCACTAGTTGATTCTTGTATGTGCCCTGACTAGGGGAACCTTGGCATATCGAATGACACTCTAACCAACTGAGCTATCCAGCTAGGCCTGCTGTTTGTTTTTTTTAACTTGCTATGGAAAATTTCAAATATACAACCAGGGGGAAAGTGGGGTGGGGGAATAAATGGTGATGGAAGGAGACTTGACTTGGGGTGGTGAGCACACAATACAAAATGCCGATGATGTATTGTAGAATTGTACGCCTGAAACCTGTATAATTTTATTAGCCAATGTCACCCCAATAGAGTCAATGAAAAGGTAAAAAAAAAAAAGGAACTTTCAAATATACACACACAGAGAATACATCAATCTCTTGCGTGCCCATCATGCAGCTTCAACAATTGTCTGCTCATGGCCAGTCTTGTTCCATTTATATTCCCCACCCACTGCACCCTCAACCCTTCTTCTGTCTTCACTCTCCCTTATTATTTTGAAGACTATATCTGAGTCTTGTCCCTGCCCCACTGTCTCTCTAGCAGCAGTGCTGGCAGGTGTTTGTGCTACAGAATTTTGTCATTTATCTGTATCATTTTATCTGCATATCATTTTATCTGTAAATAGTTTGATAATGCATCTCTAAAAGATAAGGACTCTCTTTAAGATATAATCACACTATGATTACACCTGAACCAATTATCAATAATTGGTTTATATGGGCATGTATCTTGTCAGTGTTGACAATCTCATCAGTGTTCACATTTCTTCAATTGTCTCATCTTTTTTTTTTAACACTTATTTGAATCAAGATTGAGATTAAGTTCATATACAGCAATTGATTGTCTTTTAAGTCTTTTTTCATCTATTGGTTTCCCCTCCAATCTTTTTCTTTTATTTGTTGAAGAAAGCAGGTCCCAGAGTTTCTCACTATTTTGATTTAGTTGATTGCATCCCTGTGGTTTCATTGATATGCTTCTTTGTCCCCTGTATTTCCTGTAAATTGGCAGTTAGAGCTAGAGGGTTGATCAGGTTCAGATTTGATGTCTTTGGCTAGGGGTATTGTGTACTTCCATCTTGAAGCATATGTCTGGTTGTCACTCTGCTTAGCAGCCATTGATGTTCATTGCCTAGGTCCATTGATTCATTAGGGATTGCAAAATGGTGATATTCTAACTCTATCAACCCTTCATATATTAGTTGAGTACTTCTATTAAATGAAAAATCCCTTCATCAACTATGTGTTTAGCCAGAGGAACAGTTCATACAGGATAAGTGCCTGGGCAGTCCCTTTACTAGTTTTCAAAATAATAAGTTGGTTCTCTAGCATTCTCCAAAGGTGATCATTTAAAAAAAATCAAGATATAATTCCCATGTCATAAAATTCACCCTTCTGAAGTATGCACTTGACTAGTTTCTAGTATATTCACAAAGCGGTGCAACCATCACCACTAGTTCATCATTTAAAAAAAATCCCATTATAAACTCACCAACCTACTTGATGTATTTCAATCCATAGCAATTATTCTTTTGACATTCAAATTTTTAAATCTTTAGCCAGCTGGCACCTTTTAAAATTGGCTCCTGAGACATTTTGACACACTCCTAGTAAGCTTTCTGTTATGAGGAGATATTCCTGGTTCATCTTGTACCTTTCGGCTCCAGCACAGGAATCAATCATTTCTTCCGGAACTGTGGTTCCTCTAGTGGAAAATTGTACATAGAGGCAACGATTTGGACACCCAGTGTGCTCATTATTACTGGTCATTGTTTCTAGGCATCACATATTGCTTTTTTACATCTTCAGTGGAGCTAGTTTGTTTGCTGTGTCCTGTGATTTATAATCCATGAAGTGGAATTTGGCTGTTGGTGATTTTCAGGAATTAAACAATGTCTTATTCAACTAATGACTCATGAGCAAAATACTGTTTGAAAATCACCTCATTGTCAGTCATTGTTTATTTTAAAATCATTTCCCTTGGGACTCATATTAAAAATTCTTACTTGGCATTAATTATGGCCAGCTGAATTCCAACATGATGCAACTTGCTCATGTTAAGATAAGTACATAGGAGATGGCTGAAGTATCAAGTATCAGATAAACGGTTAATTTTTATAGGGTGTGCTTAGTTCAGTAAAACTAGAGCATTTGTAGGGGAAAGTATTTTTTAACCTTTGGGATAAAAAACAATTATCACAGCATTTTTCAAGAAGGTCTGTATTTTCTCATAAACCAATAATTTATTGCCTCCTATTTGGATTTCCAGTAGTCAGTGATGTGGAGTGAAAATCAACAGCATTTTTTTCCTTCTTCTCCCCCCCCCCCTTTTTTTTAACAGCTTTTCTGACTAATCTTCCTCTGGAAAAATGATTGAAAGGTCTTGTATTATTTCTGGCTCAAGGACCTATAAACATGTCAGGGATTTTTAGTTAAGTTATTAAAACACTGTCAAAACCTTGAGTGGATGCTTTTAACTATCCGATATACATTAACAGCTCTGAAGGAACAAATAAATTTTAGCACATTACTAAAATCTCCTTGATTGCTTTGAAACCATCTATTTTGTATCCACAGCATATTGCTTTGAAATGTTCTGCTCTCAATCTCCCTAAATCAAATTTCCCTTTATTGTGGTTATTTGAGAAAATGAAAGCACTTAAGAATGTTTTTATTCTGCCACAGGCAACCTCCTTATTCCGAGTTCCCCAAGGGCAAGCGCCACATCTTTCCATTCCCTGTGCTCAGAATTCTATAGGTCTTTAATACCAAAACAATGAACAAAGTAACAATGCAAGACAGGTTGTAGAAGGTCGTGTAAGTGCAAGGTGTCAGGTTAGTCACCCAGTACTTCATTATCAAATGCTTTCAGTGGTCTTAGGTGTCCTCAAGGTCCTATTGTGAATATTTTCATTCACTGCATTTTATATTTTATCGTAACATTGATTTCTAATCTCTGCTGTTCACACTTCCTTTGCGCTTTCATTTATCACAAGTACTTTGCATTAAGGGTATTTCTAGTAAAATGATTTTTATTGTACACTGCTCTTTATAGCCTGTCATAAATGGATTTGAAGAAGTTACTTTCCATTTTTTGAAAACTCAAAAAAAGGTATAGTGGACGTCATCTGTATGATGATCTATAGAGTGATTTTTGTTGGACTTCAATAAAAGTTTATCTAATGTAATTAACAGAAATAGGCTTTCCTTTCCTTGTTTCCTATCAAAGTTAACAGTCTTTATGCATGAAAAGTAATGGCAAAGCGCTCTTTAAAAGTATCAAAAGTACTTCTGGTCTTTTAAGTTGAGGAAATCTTTTTTTTATTTGTGTTCCTTGACACTCTTAAGTGCTTTATTACTGGTGGACTTATTAGTATTTGGTGGTAATTGTGGAAGAACTAACAAGAATGCTGACATTAGGTTTTTGTGTTCATGGATTATGAGATCCCCTTCTTGACATACCATACCATTAAAGAGGCTCTTTTTAAGTACTTAAATGTTTGTAATCAATTTTTTGAAATTATATTAGTGTGAGTATACAAGTTATTTCTCATTTTTTCTCAGTTTTGTTTACCTTTCTGTGAGTAAAGTCTATATCATAGCCCGATGGGGTTTTCTACAAATGATGAAGATATTGTCATTTATCATTTTTGAAAGGAAATTTAATCGCTTGAAGAAAATATCAAAGCTGAAGCCTTGAGGAAAACTACCATCCAGTACATTGTCAGAGATTTCTTATTGTACCTTTGGTTTGTAAGATGTCTGTGGGAAAGGACAGCTTGCATTTGAGAGTTTCAAAAAGTCATGACAGGAGCTAAAATATATGGCTTCTGTATTTAAAGACATTTCACATCAGTATGCTATTTGTTTTAAAACTTTTATGTTCTGTACTGTTTAAAATGTTTTTATCTAACATTTAGTGAACTGAAGAATAAAGCACTCCTTCCTGATTAAAGAAAGACCACACTATTTACCATTTTAACTGGTAACTTTTAAACGTACTTTGAGTCCCAAGTTCAGTATTGAAAGAGCCTAAAAATGTAAACTAATGAAAACGCAAAATACACATTTTGGGGTTGATAAATGCTTTGTTTAATCAAATACATATTTTCCTTTCTCTCCAGTCTTTTTAAACTTTAAGAGGCGTAAGTAGTTTGTAAAAAAACAGCCATATCCACTTCTGCTACTTCTCTGTACTTATGAGAATGTGAAAAATCGATAATTTATGAAACAGTTACACAAGATTTTCATTTCATAGGCTCCCAAATTCTGAAACAGTTACATGGAAGATATACGTTAAAAATTACTGTTCATTGCAATGTGCGAAACTAGTTTCAAAATGTAACCCTTTTCCTCATTTTTTCCCGCCCCCGCAAACTAATAAAATCAGGCTTTCTGGCCGAATGCTTATTTAAAAAAAATAAATAAATAAACGGTTTGGTAGTTGCTCTAGGATCACCCTTCTCCCCCTCCTCTTGCCCACGTACCCACTTAGACTGGCAAGCCTATTTTCATTTTATTTCAAAGATTTTTTTTTTTTTTTAAAGCGAAAGCAGGGGACGGCGGGGGTTGCTAAATTTATCTTCTTCTCCAGCCACGGGGATGAAGAAAACACATTTACTGCAGGCGGGGGTCTGAGGGCCTGCAAACAACTTGAGCAGGCGCCTCGGCCAGGACGGGCGCGGACAGGCGGTAGGTCTCCGGGGAGGGCCCCGGGGGCGGCCGCGGCCCAACGGGAGATGGTGGGGGGCGACCAGGCCGGGTCGGGCCCGGCGCGGGCTTTACGGCCGAGGCGGTGGCAGCCGCGCGTGTGTAGCGGCGGCGGCGACGGGCGGGAGCGCGGAGGTGGAAAGAAGGGGGGCGCTGTCACGGTGACTCCGGCCGCCGGGGACCCCGCCACAGTGAGGCCACTGGGTTCCCCGGTCGCGGGGCTTAAGCGGCGCCGACCCGGGGCTCCAGGGGGACCCACCGGGCGGAGGAGGGGGCCTATCTACCCTTCCGCATTTTCCTGGGTCTCTCTCCCGGGCGGTGACGTGACGTGCTGACGGCGGGCCCGTGCCGGGGAGCTGGGCCGCTTTTTGTCAGCTCCGAGCTCGGCCCCTCCTCCCTCCCTCCGCCCGCCCCACCAGCCGGAGCCCGGCCCAGTGCTCCAGAGAAAGGCCGGCCTGCAGCACCCGCCACCGTCGCCGCCCGCCCGCACGCCCGTCCGGTGAGTTCCGGGTGTCGCCGCGGCCGCGGGGCCTAGCGCGCGTGCAGCGGCCTGGTCCCGGCCTGGTCGGCGGCCCGCGAGGCGCCCTTCCGCGCTAGGCCAGGCGGCGTGGCGCGTGGCGCCGAGCAGGCCCCGAGGAGGCCGCAGTTAGGCCCGGGGAGGAGCCCGGCTGCCCCGAGCGGCGGCGGAGGCGCGCTCAGTGAACGGGCGGGGGTTGGGGGAGGGTCGCCCGGTGGCCCGGGAGGCGATTGAAGGGCCTCGGGTCGACGCCGCGGCCGGCCCAGGGCACTGCGCGGGGGCGAGGCCTGGCCAGGTGGCTAAGGCTGCAGGCGTGAGGTGAAGGCCGCAGGCCGACCGGGCAGATTTTCGCTATGTAAATATCGGCGAGGGGGGGAGGGACGGGGGACAAGATGGCGACGGTTCGGCGCCTGCTGCAGGGGACGATTGAAGGGGTTGCCGGGAGGGGGAGACGCCATCTTGAAGGCGGTGTCGGAAGAGAAAATTCCGCTACAGCCCGTGAGGGGGGGTCGGAGAGCGGACTGCGGCGGCGGCGGCGGCGGCGGCGGCGGCGGCTCCGGTGACGGGCCCCGGAGGCTCGGCACGGCAGCGTGTGCGCGCGGAGGGGGCGTGCTCGCTCCCCACGGCGGCCATTGCCCTTGCCGCCATGATGGGCTCCAGGCGCTCGGCGGCAGCGCCACCTTCCTGCCCTGCCTCTCTCAGCCCCGTGATGGGCTGTTGCTTCCGCTGCATCTTAACTGAGCTGCGGCGGGCGGCCATCATCGCCCGCCGGGCGCTTAGCCATCTCGTTCCTTAGCGCCCGCCCTCAGCCCCGCGCCTTTACCTCGCTGTTTTAGCCACCCGAGGGCGGTCGGGGCGGATGGCAGCCCAAACATCTGGGCTCACCACGGCAAGTGGCACCCCAAGACATTTTATTATCAGTCAAGCAGAATCATACGTGGCTGTTAGGGTGCCCTCGATGCGGTTGTTTTCCACCAATCATTGCCTTCTCCAGTGTCTAAAGCAATAGAAATACAATTTGATAGGAAAGAAGTTCTCACCACCCATTTATCCAATAGGGAAAAAATGCAAATTGCACAGCACAAGAACGAAGGAATAACATTTTGAAGGAGTCGTTTGAGCCCATTTATTTGGAAGCAACTTTCTTGAAAAGCTGCTTTTAAGCTATTAGTGATTCGTTGGTAGTATTTACTTTTTTTGAAGTAAGGAAAGGACAAAGTTATTTCCTTACTGAAGGACAACATAATGTGATGCAGTGTTGTGTTTTTTCCCATGGTATTTAGGATTCTTTATTTGATTTGAAAAACTCTAAGGTTTAATCCCATCCTTAAAGTACTTTTGATTGCATACTGTACAACTCCTGTAAACTCGCAACCCAGTGTTAGCGGTGCATTGTTATGCGTGCAAAGAACGATTAAAACGGTTCTTGTAATGCAGTGTGGCTGCAAGAAGTTCGTTGTTTAGTGGTAGGCGAGATGAAGTGCTGCGAGAAAGGTACAACAAATTACTGAGGTTTCAGAGGAAGGCAAGGTTTCCTTTTGGAGCATCAGGAAAGTGTGTTCCTGACATTTCGAGGTCTGAAGGATGAGTAGGACTTTGTTGGGCAGTGGTGGAGGTGGGGAAAGGGCATTTCAAGGGTGAAGGTTCTTTGGAAAACAGTAAGCATTTACAGTTTGGCTGGAGGAGATGGTATAGGTAGGGGAGGGGTTGGAAATCTGGCCAGAAAAGGTAGATGGTGGAAGAGCTTGCCAGGTTGAAAGGCTTATACTCGATGGGGGAGCCCAGGGAGCCCTCAATTAGCAAGGTCAGGAGACATCTAAGCTGGAATTTATATTTGCTTAGTAGTTCTCTTAGACTGGGAAAAGTTTCAAAGTTGAGAAATAATGAGAGTAATAAGCTGATTAGTGTTTTCACTACTGGAATGATGATGAAGAATGTTCAGAAGTTAGTCAATTTTGCTACTCTTTCAGTGATCCGTATCTACTAACTAGATAGCTGCTCCTTTTTTCTATCCGATCTTCCCATTCCAAATAACCTTTTTTCATTATTATAATTTCTCTAGTAAACAAATAGGGAGGGGTTTCTAACTTTTCATTTACCAGGTGAAAAATAGAGAACTAGTGCTGTGGATTCCTTTACCGAAATGAGGAATGAACTTGTAAGCATTCCCCATGGTAATTTTTTTGAGAAGTAGGTTAGAAGAGCCAGTTACTAAAAAGGCAGCAGCTTTCAGATGGTGCTTTGCAACTTCTGTTCTTCCCCTTGTTGAGAGTAACCAACTTTTTGTTTGAGAGAATAACTAAGGCTGTTTGCTAAGCAAAGCCGTTTCATGTTCTGATTAATATCTGACTTATAGATGCACATGTGGGGAGTATGTGTCCTATAACTTTATGATATAAAACATAAGTATTCACAGTCCATTCCTAGATTGTGATGGGTCACAGCACTGACGCTCCAGGAGAGGACAGGAGGGAACTGGAGATTCTCATGGCTGTCATAAAGGACCATGGTTTAGAGACGTTTAAGAAACAGTGCATTGTAGGAGGCCCACTGGAAGCCATTGCTAAGGCAGACTGGGTTGTGGAGGTGGTAAGAATAAACACACACTTAGAAGAACCAGTTGCTTTCTATCTTGACAGCTGGGAAGGACATAGAAAGGCTCAAAGAAGAGAGAATTGTATTGATGCACACACAGTATAGCATTAGTAGGTGTTTTATTAGTACAGCAAGAGTGGATGTTCAAGATAAAGACTGTTAAATTCAAGTTGTATAACGAAGAAGACAGGGAAGTGCATAGTTTAGAAGGATTTCTGTCCCAAAGAGTTACATATAAAATGTTCTTTGCGTGAAAGGGTGGGCCTTGATCTGGAAAACTGACTGGAGGAAAGCCTTTTTTCCCTATCATCTTGCGTAAATGAGGTGTTAGTTTTTAAGTTAGATGGATGTTTCAGATAAGTGCAGGTTTCCTTTTTAAAAAACATGCTCACAATACAGTAAAACAAATTTTTTTTCACATTGCTTTTTGTAAATGTTTTCTTTCTAACCCCATCTATATTTGTATTGTCACTGATGGCCTTGTTTTGATTATCTGTGTATGCGCGCACTGGCGATTCCAGACTTTTTCCTCTTAAACTCCTCAACCCACCCTTGAAACCCTCAGCCTTGGCAGAGATTACCTACCTAATCTTTTACTTAAGTCTGAAGCATAGATGATCATCTGATCTAAGCATTTGCGTTTTCTTCCTTCCACGTCATGCTCTTCCTCTGTCTCTGCCTCGGCTTTCCTCCCTCCTATTTTTCGCTGCAGGAAGAATTGGCCTCCTTCAGGCCCAGCTGCTCTGCCTGTGTACCCCACCCGTCCCAGAGGACGGAGCTCAGTCAGTGAATCTGCCGATTGCATCATTGCCCTCGATCTCCCTCCGCTGGTGCCTTTCTCTCCCCTCAGCAACATTCCTAGGTTTGCACATTGTGCCGAAAACCTCACCTGTCTTTTTTCTTTAACCAGTACTTTTATTTCTTTTCATCCTACTTATTCCGAAATTGAGTAACTGTTTCACAGCATGTCACCGGGTGTGTCATATAAAAGTGTTCTCTGGTTCAGAAACTCTGTGCCTTCTCTGTCTTCTATCATGAGATTTCCCTCAGGGTCAGCCCTCCATCCTTTTTTCTCACATCTTCTCCCCTGGTTTCGGTGTTTCATAGTCCTCTCTTTTAGTTTCTCCTTTAGCATTTTCAGCCGCCTACTGGCCATCTTCACCCAGGTGTCTGTCTCCACGTGGCCGAAACCAAATTTATCTGACACATAGTAAGTAGATGCCCAATACTAATTGGAAAAATTGTTTTTAACCCACAGCCCCTAAAACACCAGCTGCTTCTAGCTTTCTTTCTCTTAATGGCATCTTATTTTCACAGGCTCATTCTTTCTTCTCTGTCTTATATAGCAATGTAGACAGCTTTAACTTAGCATTTAATCTGTTATATTTTAACTGTGATTATATTTTTGTCATCTTTTCTAAACTCTGAATGTAGAAACAGTTTTATTCTTGTCTCGAAGCAGTGCCTGGCACGTGGTCGTTATCTCTGAAAACAATTATTTCAGTTATTGGGTGCAGAGAGTTTTATGTAGTTGAATAGTTTTTAACTACTCAACCATCTAGTCAGTGTGTCCTTTGACCAAGGGTATATATACCACATGAGTTGAGTAACTCACACCCCACTTCTACCGCTTATCTGTTTGGGGTTAATATAGCCAGTGTATTCTTATTCCTGTGAAATTATTTTTCCAAACAATATTTTATAAAATCTAGGTATCTTATATTTATTCAAAGGGAGGTCCAGTTTAAATTATGAAATATTTCAGAATTACAAGTATCAAGTTACAAATATTTCAAAGAAACATCACCCAGATTTAACAGATCTTAATATTTTATTATATATTTGTTTCATAACATTTTTGTTTTTTTAAAGAAAGAAAATCTCATAAATCCATTTAAAGATTGCCCCTCATTCCATTTTTGTCTTGTTTTTGCCTGAAGTAACTACTGTCTCAATATGTATGTACGAAGTTTTCAAACTTCTTGGTCTCGGGACCGACCCCTTTGCAGTTTTAAGACTGAGATCCCCAAAGAATTTTTGTTTTTGTGGGTTCTACCTATAGATATTTATATTAGAAATTAAATCCAAGACATTTAAAAGTATTTATAAATTCATAAAAAATCATAAGCCCACTGTACGTAACATAAATAACTTATTTTAAAATAACTACTTTTCAAAAAAAATAAGTGAAAAGAGTAGTGTTGTTTTACATTTGCATTTCATGTTTTCCAGTCTGTTGGGTTGGTAGTTATATGGTATCTCATGGATGGTTTCATTTGCGTTTCTTAGATTACGTGAGGTTGAGCTTTTCCCCTTGGTCCATTTTTCTGTTGGATTGTTGCCTTTTTCTCATTGGCTTATGGATATTTTTATCTTCTGAATACTAA